AATTGTGGAGGAGGGCTCACAGTCCATTGGGGACGGCACAGCACCTGTCTCCTGCGCTGCACCGCTGAGTCACATTTTGATCACAGGGCCCAGTTGTTAGAAGAGCTCCTGACCGACTGACCTTTCAGTGGAAACGTCACAGAGTGGACCCTCCTGGGGGTCAGGGTGGGAAGGCACCAGGAGGGGGCTCTGAGTGGTGCCCAGGTGTCCTCCAACACTGAGAGAGACGTGACTGGGAGGATTGTTTCTCGAGGAAAGCACCAAGAGACAGAACCAGACTAGAGCATGGAAACAGCCTTACTCCTGCCATAAACACACAGGATTTCCTAAGGAGACAGCGGACTAACCCGTGTATATATTAGCTTGTAGTTTTCAAAACATCTTCTCAAACATTATCTCATCTGATCCTCCAGTAGCCTGCTAGATATTCTGAGACTAAGCAAGACCACTTAGTATTCATTTATTTGGTCTACGTTTATGGAGGGCCAAGCCCCAGCCAGACCTGGGTGATGCAAGGGGGAAGAACACAGCCTCTGGCCCCAAAGCACGTAAGTGCAAAGCTGCAATGAGGGCACATTGTAAAGTGCCACGACTCCACTCAGCCCTAAGCAGGAGAGAGGCTCAGCCGAGGGGACACAGGAGTGGAGTGCTGAAGTGGCGGCAACACTATGGACTCCTGGGTCAGGCAGTCTTGGGTTCAAATCCTTGCTCTGCACGCACTGGCTGCACCCACCTTGGGTAATTAAGTGAGATCCTTAAATGTGCACACCTTGCCTTTTTATGACTCCTCCTACAATCTTCTAAGAACAGAAGAGTGGGGGTCAATGACTTTCTGTAGCCTCAAGTGAGCAATGGATTTGCTCCTTAGTAAACAGTCAAGCAGCTGCATTTGCCAAGTCACATACAACACACACACACACACACACACACACACACACACACAAGATCATTAAAAATAAATGAAATGAGAGTTTCTCTGGTGGACAGTGGACAAGAATTTGATGCCAATGCAGGGAACATGGGTTCGATCTCTGGTCCAGGAAGATTCCACCTGTTGGGGAGCAACGAAGTCCATGGGCCACAGCTATGGAAGCTGGGTGCCTAGAGCCTGTGCTCTGCAACACGAGAAACCACCACAATGAGAAGCCTGAGTACCACAACTAGAGAGTAGCTTTGGCTTACCACAAGCAGAGAAAGCCTGAGTGCAATAATGAAGACCCAGCACAACTGGGAAGAAAATAAATAAATACATAACAAGAAAAAAATGAAATGAAATCATAACATATGTACTAGTTAGGTTATAGCCTGACTGCTAAAGCAAAGGCTTAAATAGGCAGTCACTTATCCAAGATGGAAATGGATTTCTCTTTCACGTACACATTGAGCCAGGCTCTGCTCCAGGAAGTCATCCCATCTCAGGCTCTTTCCACCTAGATGCTCTGTCAGGTCTAGGGGGCTGACCTCAGCTTTCTGGTCCAAAATGGCTCCTCATCACAATGCACACTGTGTTCAGGTGTAGCTTGATACAGGAACTTAAGTGCTCTCACCAGGACCCGATCCTCTCTCAGCACGGCTCCCATCCCCTCTGGACATTGGTTTCGGTCCCACATAAGCTCTCCCATCATGGCCGCAGGAGGATTTGGGCAGCTCCTGACTCCATGTGCTCTTAGCTTTCTGTCCAGTGTCTCCCTTTTAAGAGTCAAGGTGGTGACCTGCACTAATCCCAGTGGTCAAGTGGATGGGAGGAGTTGATTAGGGCCTCGTCACAATGGCATCACTTAAAGTGGGGGAGTGACGAGTCCCTACATAAAATTCTCCATTTTACCAGGAGAAGGATGAATGGATGCCAGGCGGCTGGAAAAAAGAAAAAACCTCGGGAATGTCTTTCTAGTTTCTAAATGGGATGCTGTTTGACTCATGGATTATTAACTGAATGTTGCAGTGGAAAGAAAAAAGAGGAATGAGTTTTTCTCTTTCCCTTTCCTGAGAACAAAGAAGATAAAGAGAACAGTGAGCCGGCCTGAACACTCCTTGTTTTTTTTACTTTAACTGCTCCTAACTCCGAATGTCTGTAACTAAGTTTACTTTTCTGCCCCGTACCTCTGTAGGAACTACATTTTGCACCTCTTTTCCTTTGACTCTGTGCTAAATACATCCCATATCTGGTGTTTACCCTTACAACACCCTTCCCCGTGTAGTTACATATCAGAAAGTTCACAGAGTCACCGAACTGCCATTCTTAATCACTGGGTTACTGACACCAGCCTATGATTGTCTTTGAAACAATGCAAGAGGAAGAAATCAAAATCCTAATACCTTTGTTCCTCATCATCTTATGATCCCCTAGACTCCTCATGGGGGCTGGGGGGCGGGGCACAGTTCTTGAAGCCTGAGCCCTACTGTGTCCCCTCTCCATTGGCTGAGAATTAAAGCCAACTTTCTGCTTCCTCCAAATTCTGTCTCCGTATTTTTTCATTAGGCTTCAGTGGGCAGAGAGGGCCAAGATTTTGGCCAGCAACATGAAGACAATTGAGCTTCAAATTTAGTTGATTGAAAGAAGAAAAAACCTCTATTCCTTCTTTCAATTAATAGGATGCACTTCTGGAGTGCTATAATCTACATCAGTGATCTTTTAACTTTACCCCCAAAACCCCAATCCTGATTATGCACCCAACGAGTACATGTATTTCTTTGTGAGTATACATATGTGCTATTTGACTACTAACATATTACTATGGTAAACACTGATAGTGGCACCTGATGTCCATCCTTCCCCACTTTCCTAGTGTAGCATTTCCTAATGGGCTCATGGCATCTTACAGTAGACTACATGCCCCAGGATCCTTTGCAACTAGATGTGATCACATGACTAAATTCTAGCCAATGAAATGTCAGAGGTGTCAGGTGCAATTTACAGGAAGTGTCCTCCATGAGAGAAACATGCAGTTCTTTCCTTTTTTTCTCCTTCCTGCTCTCTAGAACAGGAACAGAATGGCTTGACCATAATCAACATCCTTGGACAATGGAGTGGAAGCCACACACTGAAGAGGTGGAGCAATCAGAAAAGATACTTTACCAGTTCTGGGTGGCTCACCACCAGACTCCAAGTGCACGAGAGAGAAATAAACTTTCTTGTTTAAGCCATGGTGTTTTGGATATTTTCTTCTTTCTTAATCTCAGTCAAATCTGATCCTACATGATAAAATTTTATGTTATAATACACATACCAAAATGTATATAGCAAAGAAGAGATAAAATAAACGGAAGTGCTAATATTCCTTGTACCCCACCGGACAGAGTTTCACATACCTCTAGGGTGCATCCTGCCTCCCTTCATTTTAGAACCCTCTGGTCCCCTTGGCCCTGGCCCTGGTCTCATGGTGCCCATGGGGTTAGGTGCCTTTGGGAGGCTATTTGCCTCCTCTCCCTGAATACACTTACCTCTTTGAGGCAGGAGCCCTGAGCAAGCCCTCTGCACCACCTTGCTCAACTCGGGCAGAGTCCCTTCCCGGCCCTGCTTTCGCTACCTGCTGACTCTTCTGTGTGTGCTTCTATCATCCAGAGTTTGCTTTTGAAATGGGGAAAGCAGACCAGAAAATCTGATGGAATTGACAAGATGAGATACAATCTGAACACAAAGAAGTAGGCAATCTGTAATTGTCAGGGAAAAAGACGTGCCCTTCTAGCCTGCTCCTGCACCACAGAATTTGAACTAACTGGCCTGGTTCTGCAGGGAAGGAGGGGGGAAGCGCAGAGGTAAAGAGCTTTGTTGTTCTAGAGCTTTCTCTGAGGGCACGGCTTTCTCTTCCCTGGAAGGCGACAGTTGTGGGACCACGCCCATCCCACCCACCAGACATGGTCAGAGTGAACCCAATTCCAAAACTCTGAGGCTTGAGGGTCACAAATCCCCATCGAGGCTGGGCCTGGGAAAGGCGACCCTACCGGTTCTCTTTAGGATCTGGGCGAGTCCATACTCCCTCCTGCCACCCCCTTGAGGCATCAGTGTCTTGATTGTATCACAGCTTCAAAATTCCCTGACTCATGCCATCCTCGGATTTTAAAAGAGCTTATTCAAGTGGTGTAGGCTGTACGCTCCACCCCGCAATCAACTCAGCAATTCAGTACAGCACCCGTGTGTGTGTGTGTGTGTGTGTGTGTGTGTGTGTGTGTCCAGAGAAGGGAGGGACTGGAGAGGGGTTCCTGAAACTAGAAGGAAAAGTGCCTGAGGAAACTTGCGCTGCTGATCTCATTAGGAAAGTGGTGAATTGTCCCCCAAAGAACAGCTGGCCCTGACCCCTAAGTGGGCAGGTCAGAATGGGGAAACCGCTGCGCAGGTTTGCTCAGGAAAAGCAACCATGCTGGGGAGGAAAGCATCTTCTCTCCCCATCACAATCTGAGCCTGCTGTTCTCCTGCACTTCTAGGGAGTGAGGCTATACCATGTGATTTGCTAGTAACCATGGCAACGAACCTCATTCCTGTGAAGTGTAGGGAAAGAAATCCCACAGAAAGAGATCTGGGCAGGCTGGTTGTCCTGTGCCCAAGGGCAGCTCAACTCCAGCTCAGGTTGTTCTCCATTACTGCTTCCGCGGTTGTTGTTATGTTGTTGAGGAAACGACAGTGATTCGCTCTCTTCTGAGCGGGAGACACTGGCTCGTTTTGCTTCTCATCCTGATACTTGCATCCCCTACTTTGGAACAGTCTCGGAAAACGAAAGACAAAAATAGCACTCTCTGAAGGAGAGGATGCTAATGCATGCTGTGCTTTCAGAGATGGGCTTCTCTCTGTAAAGCGTGCACCTCCAATACGTGAAGCCTGGAGACAGTTCCGCTCGCTCCCCTGGCCGCAGAAAGAGCACTGAAAAGGCCGGGAGAGCGAACACACCGCTCTCTGCCAGGAGAGGCCGGAGGGGTGGTCGGTGCTGGGGAAGCCTAAGCGGCAGTGGGCGGGGTGAGCCGACTCCACCGCGGGCACTCGCCACGCCCCCCACTCGCAGGCTTACGGGAGGAAGTGGCTCTGATCTTCTTTGTTGCAAACGAAGGACACAATCGTCATTTGGGGAACACGCACTGTTCGATGACGCAGCTCCCAGCAGCCGAAAGAGGGCTGCCCGGTGATGGGAGCGCACCCGGTGCCCCCTCGGAGCTGCAGCTTCCGTCTGCCTTTAGGAGGCCGGCTTGCGGGCGCTGCCTTTTCAGTGACCTTGAACAAGGCACTTTGCCTCTCCGGGTGTCAAGTTTCTCCATCTTTAAAAGAGGCAGAGTAATATTTCTGTAGCCTTTCTCACTGGGTTTTGTTTGTTTGTTTTTAATAATCTCCTTGGCTAATCTAAAGGGAAAACAATTTAAAAAGCTATAAATCTCTATCTAGTATCATTATCATCTTCAGTGGTGGAAATGTCCATTCTTAAAGGATTCTGAAAGTTGGAATGAGTAACTCATCAGGTCAAAAAATTACAGTAGTAAAAAGCTATAGATGTAGCTTTGTAGGGTTTTTCAAGATAGGGTTTTTCACTAATGTTTCATGACTACCAAGCAAATTGCACATTGCATGTCATCCTAAGGCACTACCCCACCTCCCCCGGTATGACGGTTTCCACTTTACAGATGAGGCCCAAATTCACATAGCCCATGACAGAGCTGGGATTCACGTCCTGGCCTGTCTGATGTCCGAGTTTAGGGTCTCACCCACTGCTGGGGCCTTGTGCTGGAGTAAGTTCACTGAAACATTCTCCACACTGTTGGAATTAAGTTAAGAGGTGCTTGTCCGTTCACAGAGCAGCATGGTTGGGCGGGGGGTGTGTTTATAAAGGGGGGGGGGGTGTCTGCCTTCCTTTCTCATCTGGGGGGTACTCATTTGTTGCATGCTGACATGACCATCTCTTGGCTCCTCATGGAAAACTCCAGTAGCTAAAAGCTGACCTCCTGGGATCCATTGCCTGGTACTGGGTAACCATCTGGCTTGGCCATGTTTGGTCTTCCAGAGTCATCCTTCACTTTTCTTACCCTGCTTGTGGCCCGAAGCCTCACCTCTGTGGACCACGTGGTTGCGGCTACACACTGGGAAGCCCCTGCAGGAGAAGAGTGAGGCCAGGTGTTTGTTCTGCTCCTGGTGACTGCAGGTTGGCTGCTCCTTTCTTCCCTTTAGGAGGCATAAGGACTCCCAGCTGTCACCAGCTCCAGGGACTGCACGATCCCTTGGAGGGGTCTTTCAGCTCTGCTCACACTTTTATAAAATCCCTTTATTAGACATGCCTCCATTCCTCAGCTTGAGGGAGCTAATCTCTTCCCTTTGGGCCCCTGCCCGACACAGTAGGAAAACAGTTCCTCCCTCCTGGGACTGCAATGGGAATGAAATGAGCCAGTGCATGTAAATGAGTGAGCTGCTTGCTCTGAAAGGGTCAGCCGGTGAAAAAAGGGATGAACTCCTTCCCTGGGCATCCTCTCCAGGGGGCAGAGTGGCCAGCAACCACCCCAACTGGCCTGCCGTCTGGCTTGTCCAGGAGCTCAGCCTCCATTCTTCCTTAAGCGGTCACTGGTTTGCAGTTGCAAACAGTGGACACTAAATAAGCAGAACTCGATGATTTATATGATGGGAAAAAGGAAACAAGAGGATTATGCTCACTGAAGGTGAAAATGAAAAGTCAAATAAGCATATAGAGTGGTTATTCATTTAACCTAAAAATATTTATTAAGCACCTGCCATATGCAAAAGATGTAGCAATAAATAATACAGACTTGGCCCCATTTTTTCACAGAGCTTGTGCTCCAGGAGGGGAGAGATACTGCTAACAAAGGCTACTGAAACATCTTTCCCTTTTAGTTGAAATTGTGGGGACTTCGCTGGTGGCCCAGTGGTTAGGGTGCTGCGCTTCCACTGTAAGAGAGCTGGCTGGGGTATTAAGATCCTGTTTGCCACGTAGTGTGACCAAAAAACCCAGAAAACAAAAAACTTTTGTGGCAGGAGAAGGAATGGTGATGAGGGAAGTGACTGTCAGTTGAATACTGTGCCAGGGCCTGGGTGAGGCATTTCATTCTCATCATCTCATTTAATTACACAACAAAGGGTAGAGTTATCCTTTTTCTGCAATGAGGAAGCTGAAACCCAGAGTTTATTTGATTTGCCAAGGTCAATAACCATTGAAAAAAAGCACCTGCCTTCCCCTATCCCTACTTTTTAAGAATTTACAGATAGTGGGAGAGAGAGGTATGCAGATAGCTATTTATCAAACACTGGGTCAGGTATGGTGACAGTAATGTATTCAGGGCAAAAAGGGAGCACGGGATGGGGCGGGGGGGGGGACTTCAATCTCACAAGAGATGTTGGGAAAGACTTCAGGAAGGGAAGGCCTCAACTGAGTTCTAGAGTTGCTAATAGCCAAGCTGGATGTAAGAGAGAACAGGGGCTCTCAGGCAGAAGGGGTGCCATTAAAAAAAAAAAAAAAGAAAAACAGGCTACAGAGCAAGGACTGTAGATGGAGAGCTGTAGGCAAGGCCAAGGCTCTGGTGGAATTTTATTTTGTATCGAGAAACGTAGACTGCAAGTCCTATACCTTACCTTCCAGGTAAAGAGTTCAAACAGAGGAGTACATGGTCAGATCTGGGTGTTAGATCACTCTGGCTATTAAGTAGAGGACAAATTTGAGGTGGACAGGAATGGGAGTAGAGAGAGAGACTTTTCAAGAAGCTTAATTGTCATCAAGGCAAGACATGGTAAGACCCAAAGGAGGTCAGAGGTCCAAGCCATGGGGAGGAGGCAGCGGTTTGGAGAACTTATTTAAAAGGTAAAGTGTCAGAATGCAGTGAGCTATTGGTTTTATGATACAAAGGAGGGAATGGGGGGCTTCTTCCCACTCTAGGTGGTGGTGGATGGATGGCTGGGCTACCAATTGACATGGAGAATGCAGGAAAAAAAGCAGATTTGGGAGACAGAGACATGATCGCTATTGTCTTATTTGTCTGGCCCTTTTGTATTTCTTGCTCCACGTTTGTGCAATAACAGATCCAAGAAGAAGAGAGCCATGATCTAAGCTAGCTGTGTCAAGTTCATTCCTGGAAACTTGAGTCTATGCAGCGACCTGGTTCTCGCCTCCAGACACTGGGTTGTTCAGTGATTCCTCTGACTCTAGGAGTTATTTTGCAATGCTTCCAGTTAATCTTTTCTATGCATAGGCTAGTCGGGACCACTCCCTGTTGCTTATAACCAAAGAGCACTAAGGAGAGATCAATTCAGTTCTGGACACCATGGGTTTTAGGCCCATGTGACTGCCACGTGAAGACCAGCACCTTTAGGAAATATGAATCAGAAGGGAAAGTTCTGGGCTGGGGTGATCAGTGTATGAATCGGGATTGAGACTGGGAATGAATCAGACCACTGAGAGAGTGCGGGGGTGAGAATACAGGTGGGCAGAGGGCAGCAGCCGGGAGAACAAGAATAAAGGCTTGGAGAGGAAGAAACAAGAATTTAAATGGTCAGAGAGAGCCCAGGAGAGTGTGATTTCACAGAGACCAAAGGAATACGAGTTTAAAGAATGAATACTTGAAGATTTCACGCGTAAGAAGGGACCAAAGGAAACAAGGGGCTGAACTTTGACTTGACCAGAAGACTGTTGATGATCTATGGGTAGTATCTTTGGAGGAGGGTAAGACAGAAGCCAGACGTGTGAGGGTGCAGAGCACCAGGGGCTGAGAGAGAGGAGGCGGTGCTCTGGGAAGTTTTAAATGAGAAACTAGATCTGGAAACTAGATAGGAGGGGCAGGGTCAAGGGAAGGGTGATTTTAGTAGCTTCAATCAGGACTGGCCGACCCAGAGACCATGCTCGCTTTAAAATCTGTCTTTTTGGGACTTCCTGGTGGTCCAGTGGCTAAGACACTGTGCTCCCAAAGCACGGAGCCTGGGTTCCACCCCTGGTCAGGGAACTAGATCCCATGTGCCCAGCTCAGACCCGGTGCAGCCAAATAAATAAATAAATATTTAAAAGCAAACCTACCAAAATCTGCTTTCCTGTGCCCAGAGAGAATGGGCGTCTGCCTGGTGAGGAGAGCCCCAGCACAAAGAATATTCTTTTCAGGTTGGTGCTTCTGCCTGCAATCAGACGCCCCTCTGAGCATGAGGGGCTGAGGACGTTTGGAAAGCTGACAAAAGGACAAAAGCTGGTGGATTTCTTGTGCCTACTTCCGGCCTGACTTAGTTCTAGGTAGGCCCCAAACCAAAACAACAACTAAGTGAAGAAAAAGAGGGAAAACTCAATTTGCTCTTGTATATTCAAATTTAAAATCCCCTCTGAAGTCACTCCCCAACCCCCTATCCCTCAACCCCCCCACCATCAAATTCAGGGGAAAAAAACACAACCCAAACCATGCCTGGGAAATGAATTCATATTAGAGGGATAGTCACTGCCCTGTGTTAGCTGAGGAGTGTGTTCCTCAAAGAAGCACAGCCTGGCAGGTCCTCTGTGCTAATGCTTCAGGTAGACTTTTATGGGTAAAGAATGAATGAAATAGAGTTGGGCCAATGACAAGAGATTTTATTTTTTTATTTTTTATTTTTTTTAGTCTCTAAGTTGTGTCCAACTCATTGCGACCCCAGGGACTGTATAGCCCATCAAGCTCCTCTGTCCGTGGGATTCTCCAGGCAAGAATCCTGGAGTGGGTTGCCATTTCCTTCTCCAGACAAGAGATTTTAAAAAATCATTATAAAATTCCTTGTTATCATAAAATTTATATATGCTCATTGGAGAACCTTTGGAAAATACAGAAAGACCTAAAACAGCCTGAAGCCTCATCCCCAGGAGGACCATCTTGGAATAATTCTTTGTAGTCTCTGTATCTAGGAGCAGGGCCAGTTTTTGAGAGTTGTATTTATGGACAACCCACTAATGTCAGTTGCTAGGCTGTTTCCGGAGTAACTGTACAACAGGATCCTACCCACTATGTACGTGTGTGCTGTCACTTCAGTTGTGTCCGACTGTTTGTGACCCTAGGGACTGAAGCCCACCAGGCTCCTCCGTCTATGAAATTCTCCAGGCAAGAATACTGCAGTGGGTTGCCAAGCCCTCCTCCAGGAGATCTTCCCAACCCAGGGATTGAACTTATGTCTCTTAGGTCTCCTGTGTTGGCATGTGGGTTCTTCACCAATAATGAAGGGAAGGG